TTTTTTTTTTTTTTTTTTAAGTTTTACGGTCCTCTAATTAATTTTTAAGGCTGCAGTGCTTGTCATGCCCATTTCTACAATTAATTTGGGTATGACTGAATGGAAAGAAATAATCTTTGTATGGAAAACAGAGATCCGTGTACAGGTTTAACTACAATATTTCTTTTACGTATTGAAAACATGGAAAATACTAAGTTTTAAAGACACTGAAGCAAAGAAAAAGTTACTTTCAAAGTCTAATTCTTTACACACATTATGAATTAGGTGCTCTTGTATCGTGACATTGGAAAAGAAGCCACAGTGCCTAAATATCTTTACAGAAGTGCCCCAAAAAGCTAAATTTTGATTTTTCCATGATGTTCCCTGCAGGCACTGGCCAACCTCCAAATGATGCAGATCAACTCCCACCACAAAGCATTCAGAAATATTTTTAAGCCACTAATTTAACTTAATAAACATGAAAAGCACTCACTTATATTCTAAAGGAGTTTTAGCACTCAGTGTGACAACTGAAACATAACAATTCAAACTCAAAACATATATTTCCTAGCATAAATCACTATAAAATAATAACTTCAGGACATTCTCCTCTGGTCTACCTAAAATGTACAGACAGTTATTATTCCCAAGGAGAGCAGGAGGTGACACTGGGTTTAATTTTTGGCTTTTAAATGTGTGTTTAGGAATAATCCCCCCCTCGGTTTCAATATTCTGCAAGTGAAGAACTACCAGGAGGATTGCTTGTAATAAAAGATGATCTTATAAATCAAGAAACACTCATATACACGGCACAAATGGGAATACAAGATATAAAGGGAAAAAGAATGTTTCAAAAGCCAAAGAGTTCATAAAACCTGGGTTTTACTGCGTGTGTTTGACCCCTGGGTCAAGTTTAACACAGCACATAAAGGAATGTTGTTGCAAGTGCTGGTTTTTAGGAAGGTGGAATGTGAGCACCCTGTTCTGTCTGGGGCTTTGCATCTTCAGGAATTATTCAGTGCCTTAAATAACAATTAAACAGCCTCACAGATACACAATTAAACTGCATTCATTAGCAGATTATGAGCCTATTAAACATCAACCTCTGACTGATAAATAATCAGAATAAAGAGGTGCACTTGCCTCGTGGTTATAATTAAATGACAGTGGATGGTTTATTGCTGCACTCCAATGTCTTGGCAGTTGTGGAAACCATTAACAGGGTAAATGGTCTTTTATTGATTTGAGTCAATAAACTGTCATAACAAATATCAGGCAAGAGGGTATTTGGCCCCCCCCACACCATTTGGGCCATTTTACTTTTGATTTTTAAAAAATGTCAGTACTAAGACTTGTCATCGTTTGGCAGAGACAGAACACGCCCATGGAATTATGGAAGAGTTGTGTCATTTGGAAACAGGAGCTACCACAAGCTGCTTTTGTTCTGAGGCACTGGGAAGTTGTGGAAAACTGGTGTGACTGTTCAGGACTCCACAAAGCCACAAACAGCAATTTTCCCATCACATTAGGAACACACCAGAGCTAGGAATCTAGAAAACATTGCTTAACCTTGGGTTTTTTTTTCATAACAAACCACCCTGATGAACTGAATTAAAGTGGCAACACCTGGTGAAAGCTAAAAATCAAGTCTGATTCCTAAAAACTCACCCCCATTCCTGCTGACTGAAATGGAAACAGTTAATTACCCATTTTACAATAAATTAATTGACCGTTTTGGTCTAACAAAAGATAGGGGGGGGGAATAATCACAGCTCACCTGTCATAGACACAGAAAACATAGTCTGGTGTTTTATTTAGGGGGTGGGATCTGAAAAGCATTCCAGTATTTACATATGCTGGGACAGAGACCACATGGCTGAAAACTAAAAATGGATTTTCAGGGTTCTGCCTCAGTTTTCCAGTGTAGGGGACCCATTGCAGCTGAAATACAGCCCTCACATTAATTTTGCTCCACTCGTGGCCTGTGGGATTTTGTTATGTCCAGGGAACACCTCCCTATATATCTACCACATTACAACCTGATTTTTGTCCTTAAACACCTGTTAAAACAACAAACAGGTCAGAAGAAAGTGCCTGCACACAGAAATATAGCTTGTTCTGCCCAAAAACCTTAAAAATCTTATTTCTTTTTTGATTGAGTGGTTTCTCAAGCTGAACAAAGAGCTGTCACTTCTTTTGAGTGATATCTCTGCCAATTCTGCCTTTTGATCATCCATAATATTGAGGAGCCGTGGCACTGAAGGGAGATTAATGAGCTCCTGACAACTTTTAATTGTTCCCTCTCTGAGACACCATGGACTAAACTGCCAGTGCCACACCAGATTCAAATATTTTCTCTTATTCCAGAACACAATTTACATGATTTCTCACATTTATTGTTCGAATTACCCTGCCCAGTACAGAGAGGTAGTGCAGAAATTCCAAAAGGAACTCAAAACTTAGAGAATCGTGGAATTATTTCGGTTGGAAAAGACCTTTAAGATCATGGAGTCATCATGCCAAGGCCACCACTAACCCATGTTCCCCTCCACATGATTTTTAAATCCCTCCAGGGATGGGGATCCACCACTGCCCTGCTCAGCCTCCTCCAGCTCTTGACAACCCTTTCCATGAAGAAATGTTTCCTAATAAGTTCCTATTATCAATAATTTCACCTCTTTTCAGGCTGCCCACCTCCTTCTTTTTTTAATAATTTCCTCTGTCACCATCTGTAGAGACACTTTAGGGGGCAGAGCCAGAGAAGTTTTGATATGAGCCATCACATCAGTCAACACCCAAGGAAAGGAAAACACAGAACATCAATATTTACAGGTCTTGAAAGGCCACTGTCAGCTTTTATTTCTGAACTTGATGCATGTTAGAGAAAACAATAAGCAAGAGAAAAACAGCAATAAAGCAAAGGAGAAGTCAAAGTGCTTTGAGAGATTAATTCTCAAAGCAAGACAATGGAGTGGCTGGAACAGAGAGTTAGAGCGGTGTCAAACCTCCCTGAGATTATAAAGGAGCCTGGTGGGCAGATGGATTGGGCAATCATTTGATAGGGATCAGTTTATAACAGAGATAAAACTGAAATGAGGAAAGGGAAGGAGATGTTTTATGTCTGAAAACAGCAGGACAGGGAGTTACCAGCTGACTTCTGTGTTAATTTGGTGGCAGTTGTTTTACCAGAGAGTGACCTGTTAGAACGGGCAGGATGGGAAATGAAATTAGGAAGATGCAGGAGAGATCAATGCCCTGCTCAGGGTGAGCCATTTAAAAAGGGCAAACAAGATGCAAGGAAGAACAAATGGTGGAAGAGCAGATTCAGAGAGAGGGGACCCAACAGAAAAATGGGATACAAAAGAAGCCACAGACTTTATTCCTAGAGAAACCCAACCAATAAAGCTCATCTGCAATTAATAGCAGCCTGTATTCCACGTGTGACATTCCAAGGGATGCAGCTGCCAGTCATACAAATCACCATCACCTGACCCCTTTAGTATCAACTGAAACCTGGGACTGTGAAATGGCCTTTTAAAACAAACAAACAAACAAACAGCTAAATTTCTGAGATGATTTAAAGACAGGCCTTTCTCCTGCAAGTCACAAAGTAAACTTTAGTGATAACATGATAAACTTCAGAGATCAAGTAAGTAAACTTAATTTAAGTAAAACGAGGGCAAGTTAAGTCACCTTTAATGCCAGTGACAGGAAGTATTTCCCAGACTTGCAAACAAAGAGGGGTTACAAGATCTCTGTGAATATTAACAGAAATGTCCCATAGCTTCGACATTTTCCATTTTTTTCCAATTTTCCAATTTTTCCTCCATTTCACTTGCTGTGTATTATTCCACTCCACAGCTATTCCTGCTGAACAGACTATTCCAGGGGCAAATTCTTATTGCAGTTTTTTCCCTTTATAAATATACACATTATCAATCAGTAATTGATGCACTAACCATTTTGCTTATTATATTTATAAAAAAGTTACCTGGCTTTCATTCCCTGGAGACAAAAATACCAAACCCACCCCTCTCCTTTCACTGCTCTTAACCCCAATGCAAAGAGTCTCTGCCACATCCCCTAAATACACACATTTCCCTGCAAGCCTCCATAATCCCTCCCCAATAACACCCCTTCCCCCAGTCTCCTGTTTCATTCTGTACATCCTTTCCATAAACTCCTGATGTTTTAAATCCCCAATCACTTTTCTCACTCAGCCATGTCTCACTTATCCCAGTAATTTCATACTTATATTAAAACATTTGTAACTCCCATTCAGCAATCTTATTATAGAAGATATGCAGCTTTTCTCTCTCAGCTCTGCTTTGATTTACATCCTCACTGAAGGTATCTTCCACTGAGCATTGTTACCCAGTGGATAAATCACCTTGGGATTTAAGCAGCGACATCTAAATCTCCTTCCACCCTCATTACTTCACCTAATAAAACATGGACAGGAGCTTTGCAGCTTAGAATGCAGCTGACTTGTGACATACAGCCCCTTCCCAAACATTATTCTGATTTTTTTTTTTTAGTTTATTTCTTTTTTCTGTTGGGTGGGTGTTGTTTTTTTTCCCCCAGCCTTTCCTGCCCAGGGTTGGAGCAGCACCTACAGCGTGCCCTTGGTGCTTCCACGCAGGAACATCACAGTTAACCTCAGAGAAATCCCCCCTGGGGAAACCTGAAATTGGAAAAAGCTCCCTGGAACCTGAGAGCATTTCCCAGCTCTGCTCTTCCTCTGCATCCACTGCTCCAGGTGTAAATCACACTCCAGTAGAAATTTCCACCTGCACTCCCGAAAAGCATCCGCTGAGCACGTCCTGCTCACACAACCATTTCACCCAACCAGGGGATGTTTAGCAGATTTAATAAGCACCTGATTGGAAAACTGGCTACCTTGCAACATTAGAACAAATTCAATTAAAAATCAAAGCTTGCAAGCATGTTTTAGGACGTGATTAGTAAATAAATAACCTTACCTAGTGTAGGGTTTGAGTTGGAAAACATCGAGAGGAGATACCTTGTGTTGCTTGTTTTATTTCCACTGGAGCCAGATCCTTTTCTCTAAAGCCCTGAAAGAGCTGGAAAGGCACCATCCAAGACTCATTCCCTGCAAATAAAAAAAGTCTAAGGCTTACCACAGTTATCCACTTATAAAAATAAAGCCCAGGCTAAGAGGAGGCCTTTTTATACCTTCCTAGGTCGCTCCCCGTCAGGGTTGTGGTGGTGTTCAAGCCCTTTTTCCTCAGGTGAAACAGAGCAGCAGGATTTTCTTGATTGCAGATTAATTCCCACCTGGGAGCCAGGCTGTTCCTCACACTGGGCAGTGATTTACACCACGAGTAACTCCACAACCTGCAGGTAACAGCAGTTTTGTAGAACTCACCTCCTGTTGGGTGCACAGGACTTCTCATCATCTCACCAATCTACTTCATATCCCTGGAGAATACATAACAAGATCTATAATGGACACCCCCTCCAAAAAAAAAAAAAAAAAAGAAAAAAAAAGAAAAACCAAACCAGAAAGCTATTCATGAAATTTAAATTCTGATTTCAATTTCAAATATGGGGAAGGTCAAGCAACTAATTTGGAAGTTGCAACGTGATTTGAATACAGAAATTATGGCAGGTAACCCGTCAGGAATGGCAATTCACCTATAATGAATTAGATTTTAAATTGAGTTTTAAAATAATATCAAGGCTACTGCCATCCAGTGTGTCACTGTAGGGTTAAGGCTAAAAATAAGGTTGGTTTAAAGAAATACAGTAATTATATTCATGCCTTTAATACCCACAGTAATAATTATGCCATTATAAAAGTTATCAATTTTATCCTGCTGGATTAAAATCCTTGCTGTGCATTTGAAGGCAGTGGTGTCATAAGCACAAAAAAATTGGTTTAAGTGCAAAGCAAAGCATTTCTGGGAGCTGTACCGGGAGGGACTCTGGTCACCCCACTTAAATCAGCTCCAAACGTGACCAAAACATCCCCATTTCTGAGAAAGGAGTCTCCCCTCCAACATAAAACACGTGACACATCTCAAATCATGTTTTAAAGCACAAAATGGAAATACTGGACAAGCATTTCTCTGGCCTCTCTGACCCCCCTCCAATCATCTGGACACCAAAAAATTCCCTGCTGTTCCAGCACCGTGACGTGGCCACGATGCCCTTCCTTGCCCTCGGAATGTCTCCTGTGGGGTTTGGCCTTTTGTACCAGAGCAGCAGAGCTTTGGGAGGATATTTGCTGACCTGTGGGATCTTTAAACAGAGGATGTGCTGTGGAACTCAACATATATTCCCCCAGTTGTTGCAAGTATGGAGGTTATGTCACGACTCGACGCTCAATCCTTTTTCCGTGTCAGGGATCCCGCAGAGTCGGGATGGCACCAGCAGGAAAACTGTCCATAAAGAGTCACAAAGATGTCTAACAGTTGTTTCAACACACCATGGAAGCAGAACACTCCAAAGCAGCACTGGAGGGTTTCAAAGGAGTGGTCAAAATGCTGGAAGTGTTTGAAGAGGGAGCTGAGCAAACATTGACTCTTCCCTGAGCCAACACTGAAATCCTGCTGGGGTTTGGAGCTGCCTGTTTAGAGCCAGGGAAAAAGTCTATCTGTAACACACAAGACACACAGGTTTTTTTGTTACTTCAGGTTCCTCATTCTACTGCAATTCCCACCTAATTTTGGACACACTAATAAAATACAGAGATGCCAGCAGAGACTGTGCTTTCTGATTTAGAGTAGATTAAAATGGTTCAAAAGTCTTGCTTGCTTGTGACTTTCATAGAAAATTGAAGTGCTCATGGCATAAATAAACCTCAACAGATTTTGTGACTCTTCTGTTGGGGTCTTGTTTCTATGCTGATCATACAGCAAAGCAAAATGTTCTCTTACTACCTGAAACATCTTATTTTCTATGACGTGATTTAATTAATTTATCGTTCTTTTTTTTTTTTTGTAATCAAAGCCTATAGAGATTTTTCCATATTAGAGGAGTCTGATTTGAGTGGCTGGAGAGTTCATGACTGGGCTGCTCAGGGAGAAACAGGAAGAAACAGGGGAAGGCAATCTCATTAATGTTAACAGAGTTGTGCTCAGCTGCAGGGACATTCATTGTGACCAATTTCAGCACCATTATTTCTCTGACATAAACATGATTATTTTTCCCACTCTGGGAAACTTCTACAAACACTCATGGCTGGGAAAATTCATCTGATTACAGAAACCCTGAGGTGTGAAAAACTGCTTAAACAGCTTTTGAACTTCTCTGTAGAACCACTTATTGAAGAAGAGTTCAAGTGTCAGAAGTGTAAGATCTTAGTGCTGTAGCTGATAAAGGGAGGCAATGGCACTACCTGTGCCATCACTGTCATTTATGGCACCAAACACACCATCAGGGTGCTGTATTTCATAGCATGATGTGACTTTCCTGAGTGGTGGATGAACAACCTGGTCCAGGGGAAGGTGCCCTGCCCCTGGACCAGGGGGTGGGAATGAGCTGATCATTAAGATCCTTTCCAACCCAAACTATTCCATGACTTTTCTTAGATCTAATTGCTCTCAAGTGTTACTTGCTGCAACGTTTCCTAGAGCTCATCTGTCTGAAGATGTCACCAAACTGGCCCTCTTGATCCCACTTGTTACATTCAGTGACTTCTTAACAGCAGCTGGCAAGTGAAAAAGCGACTGACCAAGAATAACCCAAGCCAAGAACAAACCCGAAGGAAGTTCCTGCAATATTGACTTTTCAAGAATGGCTCGGCTCTGTCCCTGTTTTTATTTGGTTGGCTGGTTGGTTTCCCCTCCTTAACGTGACTGGAAGCAGTGACTTTTTCCCTTCCTGCTGCTTTGGAAGCCTCAGTGTTTCCTTCAGCTTGGGCTCAGCAGGGCTCTGCCATGGATATAGGGAAGCAAATAAATGCTGACTCAGCAAGCAAAGACACCCAGCAAACAAGGGCTGAGAATGAAATTTCTCAAGTCCTCCTTTCGTGCACCTGATGTTAAATACTCGGGATTTTTCCCGGCACTGTGCCGTGATTGCTCTTGGAAGGTTGCAGAACTCCGGTTTTGTTGCTGCGTAGATGAAAAAAGACTAAACAGTCTCGAGCACCCTGTTATAAAACAACGAGCTGCAGGTATTTCCTGAGGCTGTTTTTGATGGGTTAGTTAAGAGCCATAATGCATAGATTTTGTTCTTTGCTCAAACACCATCCATCTAAGCTGTTTAAAAAAAAGAAGGAAACTTGGCATTTCTTGCCTTCTGGTCATTGGAATTGGCTGTCTGGATACCTGAGCCATTTGCTTTACTGTCATGCAGCTGCTGACACGGCAGAAAAAACATTATTGTGAGGGGTTTAGCAAGGGAACATTGGCAATTGTCTCAGAAATACATCCTTTCTGCTCCTAGGGTTATGTAAGCCTTTTTATCTCTACGTATGTAAATATATGTCCCAAGACACTCTTATCCCATTAGATGAGTTGCTGATAAAATCTGTTTGAAGAGGGGAATAGAGATGATCCAGTTACTGAACTGTTTGCAGGAGGTGGGTTATTTTGGGTGACCCAACCCCTTGAAGTCCTCAATCTGCCTTCTCCCCACACACTCAGTGCATGCAGGGTGATTTTTGCCTGGGCAGCTGCTCCCTGTGCTCGAGCTTTCCTTCTACCACTTGTGAAATGGCACTGATTGTCTTTGCAAAGTGTTTGAGTCCCAGGGCATGAAACACAAAATCCACAATGAAATGCAACCCAAGTCCCCCTCCCTTCTCATGGCATCGCTGAGTTACAACCTCGCAGTGACAGGACAAGGAGGAGCGGCTTTAAGCCAAAGAGGGTGGATTTAGATGGGATATTGGGAAGAAATCCATCCCTGTGAGGTGAGGAGGTCCTGGCACAGGTTGTCCAGAGAAGCTGTGGCTGCCCCAGCCCTGGAAGTGCCCAAGGCCAGGTTGGATGGAGCTCTGAACAACCTGGTCTAGTGGAAGGTGTCCCTGCCCGTGGCAGGGGGTTGGAACCAGATGAACTACACAGAACTGTAAGTGCCTTCCAACCCAAACCATTCTGTGCTTCTCTACCATGGCTGATGAAATCTCTCCAGTTATTTTAAAGTATGAATTTTTTCATGCTTTACCTCAGACATGAAACTCTTGTCTGCAATGTCAGTTCATCACTTCTGGCTCTGCCTCTCTCATCCCACCCTTTATCCTACTGTAGATTACAGAGAGAGTGATTGTTGCAGTGACATGATTGATGAGCTGCATCAGCGCTCACTGGGTAATATTTAACATATTTGAGAACATCTGTCCAGTTAATGTGGTTTGCAAGAGGGCTTTCTGTCTCCTCCAGAATGCGATGGCTCCCCAATTAATAACAGAGAACTAATTTTAGAATGGTTGAAATGAACAATTAGAAGATCCATAAAGGAATTTCTGTGTGTGGCATTAAATATAGCAAGAATTAATTTGCTGGAGTGGTTAAACTGTGCGTGACAGGATTTTACTGGGGGGAAAAAAAAATTCATGTAATGCAAATAAAAATCTAAGCAGAAGAGTGGGAATCAAGCATAATTTATGGGTAGGGACTGTGCTCACCACACACACACTTATGTGTGCTTGCAAAAGGGGTCTCAATTAAATATACCATATAAAATTAGAGCAGCAGGGGTTTTGCAGATAGTCACATAAAGCATGTTTAAATGAATCAAAACTCATTAAAAAGCTGTATAATTACAGTTAACTAGAAGAGAGAGAGGAAAAAAAAAAAGGAGAGTCTGGACAGAGTAGGATGTTAAAAACCAGGAGATACAGTGGCTGTGACTGGACAGAAAGACAAAAATAGGTCATGGGAGGAGAAAAATGAGCCCACAGAGGATGAGCATGATGGAAAATCCCTGCAGGAAGCACTAGGGAGTCTGTCATTAGTGGGAAGTGTTTCTGAACAGGAGGGTCACACGGCTGGGATTTGTCTTCAGGTGTCACTGTGTTATTCTGCTTTCACTTAGTGTTTTATTGGTCCCTCCTGGCACATAACAGTGAGGGAGAAGAGCCTGCTCAGTACCAGTGGAGAGCACAGGATGGTGCTCAGGGACCTCCTGAGGTCCCTTCCCACCTCAGCTGTTTTAGGATCCTGCACATCCCAGCAGTGTCTCCTTCCCCAGCTGTGGGATGTGGCCATGCTGGCCCACGAAGGGAGCATAATTTCTTCAGCTTAACAACCCTTTCCAGCAAGAACCTCTTTGTTTGTAGGCACTGTAAAAAGGCACATTTAAAGCAAGGCCCTCACCCAGCAACCTCCAGCCTGAATGACGTGTCCAGTTGTCCTGCGCCACGAGACACTTCAGAGATGAAAAACCCCCTGACCTCAGGAGCCCGGGTTTCTGTGCCAGTTTGTTTACTTGGTTCCTCAGCAGACTGGGCTGTAGGCTTTATTTAAAGTGCCACAGATGGTCCATGGCAGCCCAGTGTTAAATGCAGCAGAACAAAAATCATCGCTGCTCTTTGCACAGGTTTCCCTCGTGCTCCTGTAGGGCTGCACGGGAGTGGCACTTCCAGCAGCTCTCAAGGTCACACTAAGCTTCCTCCCTCGCTGGCAAAGATGAATTTGAGTTCTGTTCCTGCTCCAAACTCATTTTTCCCTTAGTTAACTTCATGCTTTTACTTAGCTCTGCCTTTCTGGTCCGGCAGCCAATTCCAAATTTAATAAAACTTCTCATGTAGATCTCATTTTCCTCTATTTATCTACATTACTGATTTTCTCTCCCTCTTCATCCCTTTTTCCTGAGACCCAGCACCACGTCCCAGTATTATTAGTATACAATTTGAAATTCATGCCTTCAGCAAAAATACTTCTCAATAATGTGGAAACAAAATAAAAATTCTGGAGAGAATCATCAGGCAAACTCAGGTTTGCTCTGATCTGAGGGGCAGAACTGAACATCTTCAAAGCCACTGGATTTTCCTGGGGATTCCAACAGAAAGTGGCAACTCTTGGGTTAAAAGAACCTTCCAGTTCTGCTTCAGAGGCTCTCACCCTGAAATCCAGCTCTCCCCAGCAGTATATTCTGTGGCACTGCACATGCACACCCTGGGACAGATTTTTTGGGATCTCAGGCCTGAACTGTGAGTCCTCTGCCAGCCTGCCCATATTACTGAGTAACCCAGGGCAATCCATGGGGTCTCCACGGAGGATGAACTCCAAGTCACGTGGCACTTGAGGAGAGGACACAACTGAGAGAGACACCAGCACTTACCCTGAATTTATGGAAGTAGGAGTCTATTTCTCATTACAGCTCACAGTAAATCATCCTCCTCCTGCTCTTGCTTAGAAACTGCTTCAGCTTCTGCCTTTATTTCCATCGTTTTATATCTATATAAAATCTTTCAGAAGAGGCTGCACCAGTAAAAACAAAATAAAACAAAATGAGTTGAGCTTAAAAAAAAAAAACCCAACAACTTTTTCTGAAAAAAAAGTCTTACTAGTTTTCATCTCAGTTCTGTGTCCTGTTTTAAAGAAATAATAGTTTTTTTCATATCTGAAAGACATTTCTACATTTCCTTGGCTCTTTCCTCGTTACTCTTTCCAACTGTCTGTCCTCTATTTCTTCTCTAGGAGATGGAGAGGGGACCTCTTGGCCTGTAGGAGGGTCACCTTCCCAAAAAGCCACAGCTTCAGCAGAGCCTTTTCCAGCAGTGATGGTGTTGTTTAAAACCCCAGCACTGGTCAGCAAACACGTCTCACCTGCCCTTGCTCTGTGAACGTGGTCCTGGGCTGACAAACTCAGGTTGTCACCGGGTAACAAACCATCCTCCTTCAGATCCCATGAGCTTGGAGAAGTTGCTGTGAAGTTTTCAAACTGCAGCTGAGATGCAACACAAACAGGAAAGGGGATAAGGACTTACAGCAAATTTTAATACATAGATATATCTGAACCCAAGTGATCCCAAAACAGAGAAGGAAGAAATCCGCACCTTGAACATCACTGAAACCCCTTCCCCATCCTCACAATGGCTGAAGCTGTTGACATTTCAAGATATGTAAGAAAATTTTCTTATAAAACAACTTAAAGTGTTTAATTGATAAGGCTTTCCTGTACTACTTTTTATCATCATTGTGACTGGATTAATAGTCATGATTAGTGGTGTCTTGAAACTTCGGAGGGACATAATAAATTGCTAAAGTCTACACTGCTTCCCTCCCAGCCACCTCTGCAAGTAACAAAAGGGGAAACAAAAGGGATGGAAAGCACTGTTTGAGTTTGGTAATTTGCCCCCTGGCAGTGAGTATCCACTGCACCAAATAACCTCCAGAGCAGAGCAAGTCAGGGGAGGTGTTAATGCAAGACAAGGACAGGAGGAAAATCTTACTGGAGACAAAACAAATAAAGTTGTTTGGCCTATATTAGAGAGAAAGAGCTTTCAGATGGGGAGGCTGGTTATCAGCACAGGTTATCAACATCTCTTTGGCAGGGGAGGCAATATTGGATGTGATAAAATGAGAGGCTACGGGTGAAGAGCGACACAATGAGCTGTTCACTGATCCTACAGAACACTGACAGGGAGATTTCCCATGTATCAACTGTAGAACAGGATACTTAACATTTTGAGTGCCATTTGATGACATTCATGAGATGATAATGACTCTGTGTCAGTAACGACCTAGACTGGATTTGGAGTGGTGACCTAGAGGTAAAAAACTTTAAAAGGCATTACTGTCACCTCAGCCACTGCCATCAAACTTCACTGCCACTTAAGGTGCTTCCTTCAGACTTCATGCCCACATTACTGGGATCCTGCTCTGCTCACAGTGTTTGCAGAAGAGGCCAGAATTAATCTCACTATATTAAAAATGCCTGTGACTTAAAGAGGAGCCCATCTCAGCCGGTGATGAGAATGTCTATTATTCCCTCCTCGTGCCCATTATCCATAACCTTGCTCCATGCCCTGCAGAGCAGAGCTGATGGAGTGACCCCAGCAGATGACACGGTTTATGATCTGCTCTCCTCGCCCCTTTTGTTGCTGACGGTACGGGAAGTGAAATAAAGAATGTGCTCTAATTAAATCTCTCCATTATTACATTAATAAAGAGGGACAGTCCCTGGCAAGAGCAAATCAAGAACAATCTCCGGTGATCTGCTGGCTGGAATGAAAGAGAGAAAAAAGGAGATGAGCCCTCTTAGTCCAGAAAAACCTGTTTGTACCCAGTCTTCTCCCTGGGACTCGGCAATATTCCTTTGCACCACGAAAATAGAGTGGACATTTGGAGGTAAATGACTGTATGTGACACCCTCAGCCATCCTGAGAATGTGAAACCCACAATCTCTTGGGTTTACTCCTTTTTGGAATGTCCTTAATCCTAATTACTCTTTCAGTTCACTCAGGGATTTCCTGGACGTTTACAAACCAGTCTGATCACTGGCCTTACTGGTTTAACTGGAGCTGCTTTGGTGATGGCAGCATCTGTAAACATCTGCTCTCTCCAGTGAAAAGTCTTTAAAGCCTCGTGTTCCCAGAGCTTTTCCTGCATTTTTGGCATGGCACAGAACTGTCCAGCACAGACCTGAGCCCTTCAACCAACATACAAAGCCAAGAGTAAAATACTCATTACTCAAAAATTGAATAATTGAGGATATTTATGTTTCTATATTACAGAAATAAACATAAAATACCTTCTTTTTTCCCCCTGATGATGGTAAGAAAAGCTACAAGCACATCTCAGGATGCACAAGCTGATGTGCAGCGGTCTGGGAAACAAGAACTGCTGAACTTTCCGGAGCAAGAAATTAAATATATCAGGCTGTATTTTTGGTTTTTCCATATTCCATTCCCATATTTTGACTTCCCTATAAGAAAAGCAAGACAGATACAGAACTGAAACAAGATCCTTGGTAGCTGGAGCTGCCCTGTTTCCCACCCTGGGTGGGTTTTCCCACCCATCTGTTTCTCAACAGATTTGTAAATAATTAAAAATATTAAAATAAGAAAAACTATAAAATTTATTTATTATTACCAAGGACAAGTCTCGAGTCATTCTTATTCTCCTGCTTGATTTTTTTTTGCGACGTTTTAAAAATTAAACCCAGTTTTTATTAAAGACATTATTGAATCTACAACTGAAAGCAGTAAGAACATTGACACATGAAAGAGTAATGCAAGAATCATCTTACCTAATGAAAACCAATCAAAAATACATCACTGAAAAGTCTTTTTGGATTAAAAATGTCACATGACTATCACATAATACTTCCTGAGCTAAATATGAGCCGTGAGAGAATATCTGTGGGTTATATTACCTTGTAAGGTCTCTGAGTAACAGGGGCTGCTGTGGATCCAGCCATGCTATTGTCATAAACATGTTGACAGCAAAATCACTTGTGAGAGGAGAAAACTCTTCAGATTTTTTTGAGGTGACCCAAAACAGAGAGATTTTGCTCACGTCCCACGTGGTAACTCCTCACACAATTTCCACGGCAGCAGAATTATTCCTGATTTAACAGACCATGAAGGTATTTTTTATTTGCTGTCATATTTAAGTGTTCTCTTTAAAGAAGAATTTTAGAATACCTCATTTTTTTTTGGTAAATTTTCCTGTGCTCAGGCAGCTGGAGAAGTCAAGCTCATCAGGCCATGACTCCCCATCATTCCCCTTATTGTCCCTCCCAGGCAGGGATGGAACACATTTTCCTCTCCTTCCCTCCCAGAGCTGGATTTCATAGCAAACCAAGTTTCCTGAGATTCATTTCAGTTCAGGTTTTATTTTTAAGACTTAAAATTTTCTCACAGTAATCTGCTAAGGGAAGTAAATTTTCTTAGGAGAAAAATATTTTAGAGGAGTCATTGAAAGTTACGGATTTTCTTCTAAAAGTGTTTCCAATTCCTATAATTTTTACTCAAAGAAAAAGTAGAGGGATTTTTTTGGTGGTGGGGAAATGTAGAAAAGTCCTATTTTATTTCTAAGTTGATTCAGAGTTTTAATTCTTTGACATGACAGCAGAATGTTCAGGGACCTCCAGACTAAAAGTACACCAATAATAATGAACTATCTTTTGCATTGATTTTTTTTTTTAAAGATGTCAACTCTCATTTTTATCTCACTTTAAATCTGTGTTGCTTGAAACAGCTTTTTTTTCTACATTCAACAGGGCTAAACAGCTACTAAATGAATATTAGTTTTATTAAATTAATGCCAATTTAACCTGAGTCACTCAGTAAATAAGAAATCACTGCAAGGAGCTCTTTTCAAGTGAGCTGGACAGTGAGGGATAAAGCTGCAGGAAAGGTAAACCCAGAGCAAGAACCATAAAATTCTTGTTTGGCAATGAAAGGAAAATGTGGATTAATTAAGCTATTCCAGCACAGGACAATGAGAAGGCAGAAATTAAAATACTGCCTCCCATTCCAGCAAGGCTCAGCCTTCAGTCCATCCTCAGTGACAATTCCAAAACCCACCTGGAGAGGGGTGGGCTAGAAGATCTCCAGAGGTCCCTTTTGCCCTTTGTCACTCCATTATTGTTAATTTTCAATCATTAACCTCTTGCCCACCTTGCAGACCACTAATTTTAGAGTAGGATTAGAAGAAGAGGTCACAAACTTCTAATAAATCTCCGCTGCTGGGAAGGCTGTAGCCACAGATCTGGGTAATTTTTATGGAAAGCAGGCTCAGCTCTCAGCTCCCCCAGACACAACCCTGTCGCACTTGTCGGTGCTTCGCTGCTTTACACCAGCTCAGCACTTCTCCCAGACATCAAACTTCCTGATATTACCTGGAAAATGATCCTGCTTGTAATGCTGTGAGATGAGCTGACCCTGCTGAGATGTGAACTTAAAACCACGCAAGGCCGCAGAAGGCAAATGGAGCATGAAAGCCTCTGTGAGAGGGGCTGGGAGGAAAGTTCCTGCAGGATAACACTGATCCCTATCAGTCTTTTAACCTTTTTAATACTGAGCCTTGTAATCCCTTCACAAGCCTCTCTCCTGTGTAGACATCCAGCCTTTGTGTGCCAGACACGGAGCAGACGGGAAGGGAAAAGCAGCAGGAGCTGCAGGGTGGGGAAGCAGCAGCTTTTCCTTCACATCCACCCACTGAGCAGAGGGATCCCTTGGAGGTCTGACCTCCTTGTGCTCAGTCTGTCTTCCCTAACATGTACTATTGAGGGGAAAATTGTAGCACACACCACAGAGGACAATTTCATCAACTGATTTGCTTTTATTGCTTTGCAAGGTGCCCCAACTCGCTGAGCTCCCTCCCCAAGGCGGGCACAGGGAGAACAAAGATTGTTCTCATCACACCTTTCACACCACTGAAGTTGTGGCTGCCTGCAATATTCTGTTTAAACAATAATAGCTTGCAATATT